TGTCAAATATAAAACTTGGGATCTATTGGGAGCCATGTGTGTGGGGGAAAAAAAATATATATATATATACACATACAAGGATACTTCAAAAGTTCATGGAAAGATTTGTATTATCTTTTAATTCTATTTTTCCATGACCTTTTTGAAGTGACCTGGTACATGTGTGGAAAAGCCTGTCTCTAGTGAGAGAGAATGAATGGGCCTCAGAGAGGGGGAGGTTGAGTGATCGAGGGTGCAGGAGCCCTCAGTTCTGGTTGTTTCTGCCGCTGCCTCCCTGCCCCTCCTGCTGGCTGGCTGTTGAAGCTTGCCTTGAATTCCAAGGGCAACACAATTCCTTTTGTGCCTGAGCTTGTTTGATTTGGGTTTCTCTCATGTGCAATCCAGATAACCCACTGCCTATTTCTTTTATCTTTGAAGTTACTCACAGGTATCTACACAGAATTTCATTTTTAACAACCTCCTACCTGTCTTCAATTTAATTTCTGTTAGAAAACTCTGGCTATGAAATCTGTACTTCTGGAGTCTAGGACAGCTTTTCTGAAAGTATATTTTGTGAACTCCTCTCTGAAAAAGAAGGTTTCCATGGTCAAAGGCATTTGGGAAAATAAATGCTGCATGCAGTATTCCTATCTTGGAGATTTGTGATGTAGCATATTAAGAATTCCTGCAATGAATAAATGTATTTAATGTTGTCTAACCAAGTTCCCTAGATTCTTTTTGGAACCCAGATCCTTTTCATTTGTGTAACATGTAACATACCAAACACCGGATGCTCCACAGGACCCATTCTGGGATATACTGTCTAGGTCCACATGCGACTGAGGCCATCTCCTTTAAAATGGCAAATTACTAGAGTGCCCTGCACAAAAACGTTTGACCGAGGGGACACCTTGATGGGACTGTTGTCAGTTTGAAGGAAGGGACATTTTTGATAATTTTCATAGAGCACCTTTATTTGCTAAGCATGAGCCCACAGGGCTGGGTCCACCCAAAGACGGTGCCTTTTTCGAACGCATTCATTGATGCTATGTATGCTGACGATGGTCTTGCAAACCATTGACCCCTCCCCCAAAGGTCCTTCCTGTTGCTCAGAATGACATGCAGAGGAGTGGTTCCCTCAATGCTGCCTTAAATTTCTGAAAGGTGAAGCTGTCCACAAGGCAAGGCAAGAGTGTATCGGAGGCTGTGCTTTGAGCAGAATTTGAGGTGCTTCTGGACCCCCATCCCAGGTGTGGGATATTTAGAATATCCTCTGCCTCTGGGATTTTTTGACTTTCCTCCCACCTACTGGTGGTCACTATCATCTTTCCACTGATTACAGTTTATAGAGAGCTCTCATTTGAGCCCTTCAGCCATCCTGTAAAGTTGATGGGTTTTGTTTTATTCATCTCTATTTTACAGATGAGGAAACCGAGGCTCATTCCCTTCCCCAGTCCTATAGATAGAGAAGGAAGAGCTGGGATCCGATCTTGGGTCTGTCTCTATCCTATTACACTGCCTGTGTCATTGAGCTGCCTGTGGCCACTCCTGCAGCAGCCACATTTCAATTCTTTTCTTCTCCATCATCACCCAAATATCTCCTACAAGGGCCTGGGGTCCTTCCTCTGGGGATGGAGAGGTGGGAGTGACTAGGAAGCAATATGGTGCCTGGGGGACCACGTGGCTGGCAGGTTGGGGAGGCTGCCTCCTGATGACTGTAGCAGGGAGAGGCCTGCTGTGCCATGGTCTTCGGGAGCAATGACCGCACAGTCAGACATGTCTGTGTCTCCCAAGGTAGCCTCACTGACAAGCATCCCTCGCCTTTTAGAGCCTATCTCCTGTCCTTCAGCAAGTACGCTGGCTTCACTCCTACCATAGGGGACTCACCCTCCAACTGGCTCAGCTTTGGGATGACCAGAGACCTGGAGGTAGCTCATTGCTTGGTGGCCTCTCAGTCTGAAGAAAGGTAGAGTGGAGGAAACCCCAGTGTCAGAATTCAGGAGCTTGGCTGGCTGGCCTGGGGGAAGTGACCCAACCTCAGCCTCCTTGTCTGGGGACAAGGAGTTCTGCCTGCCCCTCAAGCCATGGTGAGGGGAAGGCCAGGGAGGAGGAATATTATGGCCCCAGAGGAATGTGGGGGGTGGCTGCAAAGGCAAAGGCTCGAAGCCAGCCAGAGCTATACGAAGCTACTTTCCAGCACGCTAGCTGCTCTCTACTATAGCAGCCACTAGCCCCTGTGGCCATCCAACTTTAAATTAATAAAAATAGAATGATACTAAAAATTCAGTTCCTCATTCTCCCTGGCCACGTTTCGAGTGCTCAATAGCCACAGATGTCTAGTGGCTAATGTATTGGACAGTACAGACCCAGAATATTTCCATTCCCAGAAAGTTCTGTTGGACGGCAGGAACCAGTTTCTTTTCTAACCTGTTTCTTTTGCATTAAACCTGTCCTCCACACAGCGTGCTTCTCCAACTACCCAACCTCAAAGGAAACAGTTTAAGTGAACAGCGTAGGTCTGTCACCTCATCTAGGGGTAGCTCAAGCTCCTGGCAGGAGTGAGATGGGAGCCGTCTGTAGATCCTGCGTGCATGTCTGGCTTCCTAATGAGGTATCAGCTCCTGAGAGGCGGGGTCTTTGTCTCATGTCTTCTTCGTCCCTGACAACAACCTGCACGGTGCTGGGCATGTGGCATGTCCTTAATCACTATTATGAATTTGTCCTGAATTGGTACAGCTCATGGTACAGTGAGACTGACTGATGGTCCAGTCAGTGCCATCCTGGCTTGGCCATGAACCCACTGCATGCCTTCAAGTACATCATTACTTCACACCAGGACTCAAGGGAACAAGAAGGTTGTCCTGGAATAGATGATCTCAGAGGTTCTTTCCTGCTCTGACCATCGGCGGCCTTGGGAGGCAGAATGCAGACTTCCTGGGTAGCCCTGGGGTTAGAGCCCTTCCTGTCAGTGGCCAGTGCTCAGACTGAAGGCCAGATCCCCACAGGGGAGCTGTCCTGTGTGAGGATGTCTGTGATGGGGATGCCTGGCACTGAGAGTGTGCGTGTGTACGTGCGTGTGCGTGTGTGCGTGTGTATACATGTTCTTTCACTCAGAATCAAGGTAACAGGATGAGAAATCCACGTTACCATGGAAGGACATAACTATCTTCTATTTAGGTCTTGGGTCTACAGCACTCATTTTATTTCCTTATTTCTCTCCTTTTCCACTAGTGATTCAATAAACAAATATGTTCTGGCATCTGCAAGAAGGACCTCTCTTTGGGGACCAGAATTAGCCCCCAGAACCCAGGGCTGTCTACTCTACAAGACCCCCATGGTCACAGGACAGAGGCTGGCCTCCGAATGTTCTGGAAAGCCAGGCCCCATCCACCAGCTCTCAGGGATGCCAGAGCTCTGCATACACACAAACTTGATCCCCCTGCATCTGGGGCTGGAAAGGAGGGGCATTTAATTTAGAAAAGTAAACGAGATCAACAAAGCGTCTCCTCAGCAGGTGGCTGAAGGGCTTGGAGTGCCCTGGAGGCTGAGGTAAGCTGCCATGAGGCATCACTGCGGTGGCGCGTGTGCAGCCATTTTATTTTTTGGTTGAAGGAGCAGAGGACTAACCATAATGTGGGGTAAATGGCCACGCTCACCTCTTCTCACCAGGGCACTCAAGTGAGCGGTGCCAGGAGGAAGGAGAGAGTACGGTGGTGGGAGAGCTTGGAGTCTGCAGTCAGTCATCCTGGTGGGGGGGAGGGAGCCNCTAACCATAATGTGGGGTAAATGGCCACGCTCACCTCTTCTCACCAGGGCACTCAAGTGAGCAGTGCCAGGAGGAAGGAGAGAGTACGGTGGTGGGAGAGCTTGGAGTCTGCAGTCAGTCATCCTGGTGGGGGGGAGGGAGCCCTCGTGCCGGCGTGCTGTGGGGGCCTCAGCGGCTAGTGCTCCTGCTAGAATCTTCTCTCCCTTCCCCTCCCCTGCTGGCCACTCCCTGGGCTCCTCTGTTACCCTCTGTAGTCATCCCTGCTATGCCTGAACACAGTGTGATTCTCACTTCCGTCTCCTTTGCCTCCGTGGTTCCCACTCCTGGACCGTCTTTACCTTCTCTTCCTGCTGAGATTCTAGAGGCTGTGCATTCCTTGGCTATGGCTGCATCACGCTAGTCTCTGCTTCCGTCATGACACTGACCTCTCCTCTGACTGACCTTCCCATGCCCCTCTCATAAAGACCCCTGAGATTACATCAGGCCCACCTGGTTGATCCAGGACAATCTCAAGAACCTATTCAAATTCGCCATGCACTACAACGCTTCCCCTGAGCCCCTGTCCCCTATGGTTGTGTGTCTCCTCTAGGCTGTGATCAAGGACCTGGTCTTTTTCACCTTAATGCATTTACTTTGTTGCAAAGCCTGAGACAGTATACACGGTTCATGAAGTTTGCTGAATAAATAAATGAATAAACGAAGGCATGAAATTAGCTCCAGGGCCTATAACCATGGGTCCCCTGAGGGCTCACACAGGCATGGTGCCAAGTCCCTAAGTCCATGCTGCTTGGTTTTCCAATACTTCAAAGCCCCTCTACCTTCCCCCATGGGCAGGAACCTGCTTGCTTTTTGGCTGGACCTCCTGGCTGGGTCGGAATATTTGGGATGGCTGGAAGAAGAACAGGCTGGCCCATCCCCTCCTCTTCTCCTAAAATCCAGCCACCCATCTGCCCAACTATACCTGCTACTTCAAACCTTCCTGCAGTCCATACCTCCCTCACCCTACCTGCCTCCCCTCTCTAGTACTCTCATCATCTGCCACTCCCCCACCTAGTGAAATCAGAGGAAGCCAAAGCCATTGCAGCCCATGCTAGGGACATCTTTACCATCTACTGGCATGTCACCAAGCCCTTGCTGGAGAGCAGCTCTTCACAGCATGGGCCAAGACAGCCCTCACGGGCCAAATCAGCTCTTGAGAGTCAGTGCCACACCCCTCTTCCCTCGCCCAGAGCCCCGGTCCCTGTGCCCAGCTCACCTGTCTCTCCCCAGATGGGCAAGTACTCATCTTGCTGAATGTCCAGCATGATCTCCAGCCCGTTGCCTGTGCCCCCCTTGACCGTGGTGAGCAGAGGCTTGCCATCCTCGCCTGAGTTAAACATGTAACACTTCCCATATTTTGTAAACACCTGAAGGAGAGAAGAGAGAGAGAGAGAGCACATGGGTGACTTTAGACTGGGCTCCAGAAAAGCGACAGGAGGCCGGGGTCCCTACAATCAAAAAGAGTCAACCCTTCTTGGGGACCAATGACTTCTCACCCTGGCTGATAACCTGACTTTTGCTAAGCAGGACTCTGGCATCAAAGAATAAGTTTGGACTTGTTTGGGGTTCGTTGCAATAGGATCTAGTTTCTTCTCACTCTGTACACTCCCCGAGAGGTCCCGTCCACTTCTGAGTGTTAAATATCGTCTGTAAACTCCTGACCCTCCAGTCCACACCTCCAGCCTGAGCTCTCTCCTGGGCTGCAGACACAGTGATTGCACTGTCTGATGAGCATACCTTCAAGGTGTCCCACAGACCCCATCACTCAGCATGTCCCAGAGGGAACAGATCTTCTTCCCCAGCTTCCCCACCCCATTGAACCATTCTCTCGCACTCCTGTCCTAGGGAACTCCTGTCCTGCACAGGGGCTCAAGCCAGACCCTCAGAGTCACTGGGTTCTCTTCTATTTCCTCATCGACACATCCAACCAACCAGCGAGGCCTGTCAGTACTCTCTCTATCTGTCCTGAATTTAGCATTTTCTCTTCCATACTGCTGTCATTTTTTCTTTCTTTCTTTCTTTCTTTTTTTTTTGAAGTGTGGCTGGTGACAGGGATCAGGGATCCGAACACTTGACCTTGGTGTTATAACACCACACTCTAACCAACTGAGCTAACCACCCAGACTACCACCGTAATTTCAGACCCAAGTACTTCTTGCCTGGGCCACTCTGGTTTCCTAGCTCGATTCTGGATTCCAGACAACCTCCTCCAGCCAATCCTCTAAACTAACCTTGGCTCACTCTTCCTGAAATGCAGACCTGTGCATTTATCATGTTAATCCTATGCTGAAGATCTGTCAGGGTTCCTCATCCCCTTTGGGCTAAAATCCAGACCTACCGTAACTAGCCTTCCATGATGGCCTCTGCCTATCCCTCCACCTTCCATCCTACTGCCTTCCACCTGAGTCCACAGGCATGCCCCAGGACTCAGGGACTACCTGTGCTTGCTCACTGAGGTATCCATTCCTCAAGACTAGCACAGTGCCTGGGCCTGGGTCATACGGGGTGCTCCAGAAATATATGTTGGATGAATGAATGAATGAGCGAGTGGGTAGGACCAGACCAACTCAGGGACTACCTGTGCTTGCTCACTGAGGTATCCATTCCTCAAGACTAGCACAGCGCCTGGGCCTGGGTCATACTGGGTGCTCCAGAAATATATGTTGGATGAATGAATGAATGAGCGAGTGGGTAGGACCAGACCAAACAACTAGCAGCACCCCTGAACATACCCTGTTGGTTCACACACTTGTCATTTTCTACTTGCTGTTTCTGCTGCCTGTAACTCCTCTCATTCCTCTGTCTGCCCGGGCAACCTCTAGCTCTCTGCCTGGGCAACCTCTAGCTGTTCTCCAAGACTGAGACCCTGGACCGAGTTGGGCCACTCCCCCACCTTGCTGTTCCCCTGACCCCTTCACCACAGCACCCGCTGCATGGACTGAATAGCTGGTCCTGACTCTCTCCTGAGCTTGACTTGACTCTGCCTTTCGTTTCTGAATCCCAGAGCTTGTGCCATTGCTGGCACACAATAAGGGCTCAGTCCTCTTTTGCTTCGTAAAAGCATGATTACAAAGATGTAGTGTGGTGATGTAGAAAAAGCCCAGGGCAAGGAACGCAGAGATCTTTGTCCAAGTTTTGATGTTGCCACTTAATAATCATGTGACTTTGAGTGAACCAAATAAACCCTCCAAGCTTCAACTTGTCCATCTTTAAAATGGGGGTTCTAGTCCTTGCCTTTGCTATTTCTCAAGGTTATTTAGTGAGAGGGTCAAATGAGGTAATGCATGTAAAAGTGCTTTGGAAACTAGAGAAGCTTTCTACAAATTCTATGGGTTATGATGATTACATAACTGCTTTGGAAACACATGCTAAAGCCAAATTACATCTGGCCAAATTGGCTGGAAGAGAGGCAGGTCGACTGTATTGGATTCCTGCAGCCACTGAGATTTGGGCCCAGGTCACTCCTTGACGATGCTCCATTGCAATGTCCCGTCCTGCAGCATGGAGTCCATAGGAAGGCTGTTTAGCGTCCTATCCTTCCATGCAGGGGCAGGTAAATAGCAGGGGTAAGGGCTGGAGGCTGCCTTTCTCATGCAGATCTCCATGCTGGATGGAAATAAGGGAGGGGGCCTCCACCATGTGCCAGGCACTGTGCTAGACACTTGCCTATATTATCTCATTTAACCCTTGCAACCATGACCGTGGGTAAGTATTGCTGCTCCCATTGTGCCAAGGAGAAAATCAAGGACCAGAGAGGCTAAGTGACTTGTCTAAGGTCACATAGCTAGTAAGTAGAGAAGCTGGGACTTGAATCCATGTCTGTATGATCCTAACACATGTGTTCTTTATGGATGTGCTGTCCTGGGAGGAACAAGAAGGTCTTGGTCATTGGGATGCTTCTGAGCCACGTACTCTTCCTCTCTGCCTTGCTTTTTCCATCAACTGATCAATATTCATGTGCATGTGCTCCTACTATGTGGAAGAATTACGGAGATTGCAAAAAAGTATACAACCTACTGCCTGTCTTCAGGACCTGTGCCAAGGGCTGGCAAAACACTGGATTCCATGTTTTTTCTCCACTATACAAAATGGCTCTGAGTCACTGGCCAGCTGCACTGTTTTAGGACAGCCAAGCCTTACTCACTCAGCTTCATGGTGGGGGAGAGCAGCTGGAATTAATACAAAGTCCGAAGCACATGTGGTTTTTCAAAGAATTGAGTTTTTTCATCACTACTGCATATAGCAATTGAATTTGGCTAATAAGCTTGTCCCTGGAGAGATGCTCTTGGGGACAATGCTAATGAATAGATAAGAGCATTTTATAGTCAGCACATCCATTACAAAGGGTTGAACACATCTAAAGTGACTTCTGAAGTGTTCCTATGGAACTTTTCTTTGTAGAAATTCTAAATATCATCTCTGTCTCCAAAATTGCTTATAATACTAATTTGACTATGTGACAAGATTTGTAAGCAAAAGTACATTTCAGCTTAACGTCAGATTATTGCAAATTCCAACTCCCCTGCTCCTCCCTCAATCTTTTGGTCCTGGAACTTCAGATATTGGGCTGGGGTTAGAATGTGGTGTCTGCTCTGAAGTCAACTGTGATCCCAGCCCTGCCATAAATGCGTCAAGTGGCATTGGTAAAGGTATTGACCCTCCCTGAGTGTCTGAGGATGATGACAAGGTGTGAGAACTGAAAGGGGCATTAGAGATCATCTTGTTCACCCACTTTACAGATATGGAAATGGAGTCCCGGCGGAGAGGAAATGACTTGCCCAAGGTTACACAGTAAGCAAGGGTCCAACTGGGACACTGAATTCTAGTTCAGCCTGTTGTCCTTCCTTTATATCACCCTCCCTCAGAGCCCCCACATGGAGGCTCTTGGGGATTGCTAAGGCCCTTCCCATCTCTGAATGTCAATTGATGAGTGACTAAGTGCCTGCTTCGTGCCTGGTACTGAGCAGCACTGAAGCCTTAGGAATCCAGGTCTTTCCCTGCAGAGGAGGAAGCCGGCAAGTCCTCAGTGGAGTGGATGGTGACTCGTTCCCCATCCTTGACTGTGTTCTTGCCAGAGCCAGGAATCATCCTAGCCCAGGTAGGGACTCATGTGGGTTAGTCTGAACTTTCCTGCTCCCTCCTCCTGGGGGCAAGTGCTGGGGCAAGTTCACAGATGTGGCCAGTGTGAGGTGACATAAGTCAGAGCTTGCTCAGAGGTGGTGGTCGCCAGAATGGCAGGGGTGGGGAGCTAGAGTGTGGCCGTAGCCAAGTCTGAGAGATGGCCAAGTGATGGTCTATGATGGCCAAATTCCTTATCAAGTCAGGACCACCAGGAGGAGGCCTAAAACCCTTTTGTGGCTTCCGGTGGCATTTAGGACAAAGCCCCAAATCCTTGCTGGGGCGCTATATGGCTCGGCCCCTGTCTCCCTTTCTCCCCTTTCTCAAATGCTTCAAACATACTGACCTCTTCAGTTCCCAGAATGTGAGCAAGCTCTTCCCCTGCAGGGCCTTTCCACATGCAGTTTCTTCCATCTTGAATGTTCTCCCCACACACTTTGCCTCGCCAGCTCCTGATCGGGGGCCTTGGCTTGAAAGGCACTTCCTCAGAGAGCCCTTGCTTAACCTTCCATCCCCCAGCCTCCATTTAAATCGGGGCTTCTTGTTTTACAACCTCACATTCCCCCATATTTTTCCTTATAGTACATATCAAAGTGTGTAACTAGATGGTTACTTATGTGATTATTTGTTGAACATGTCTTCCATTAGACTGTAAGCTTCCAGAGGGCAGGGACTGTGTCTGTTCTGTTGAATGAATGGATGAATGAGTTCCAAGGTGCTGCTGCCCCCTGGCCCACCTCTGGGAGGCGCCCTTCAGTGCTGGCTGGCCTCACCTGGTTTTGGCCGGAGCTCAAGCTGCTTCTTGTCCAACTCCCCTTCCCTCACTGTCTCTGCCGTGGCCTTCTCAGCTTCCCACATAATTGTACCTAAGCATTTGCGCTTACTTCTCTATGAAGGTATTAGAGCAAATAATCCTTTAGGAACCAAGATCACTGGGGACAGTTTACCTTTGTGGGTGTGGACAAAGAGGCTCAGAGAAAGCAAAGCGCCCGCTGGCTGCACGCCTTTGCCAGCCTCACTGCCTGGGCTGCTGAGCCCGCCGCTGCTCCCTGGCTTTTCTCTGAGGCTTATTTTCCTCTCTGCTCCACATCAAAGGCCAGAGAGCTATTTACACACAGCGCAGTTTTGCTACCAACTTGGGACAACACGCAGCTCTCCTTCCCAATGCAGGAGCATAATGACGTGTAAGTATAACACACACTTCAAATTTACGCCTTATCACCCCCAGCCAGAAAATACAATTTATTTA